CTGTCTTGAAAGGTGTGTGTGATCTGTCCCTGCCTGTCTTTCCAAATGCATTTTATGCTACCCACCTACCAAACACTTCCAAGGCTGTACCACAGGCTGCCTCTTGGATCTGGAACAGGTTCTTCCCTCAGCCCTGTAGTTAGCTGCTACCCAATGTAATGGTCTCTATTTAAATATCTTGCCTGTCCACTCTAAATTGGATCATTTCTGTTATTTTCTCTCTCTCTCCGTTTTTCTGTGCTTAATAGCATATAACCAGTTGTAGTTATTTTCTTTGATTGCTTCTTTGGGTCTTTGTTCACAAAAGGTAAACCCTGTACCTTCCCCATGCATTCTCTCTCTCTCTTTCGAAAAGGGAGCAAGGACTACATGTGGCTTGTTTTTGCTGTATCATCAGTATTTTAGTATTTAGTAGGTGTTAGCAAATATTTATTGAATGAATTAGGGGGTAGAGGCAAGCTGACAGGCGGACAGGGTGGATCTGTTGATACTGATGCGCAGTTTCAGCATGAAAAAAGAATGTACTTTCATAGATGTACCCAAACATTGCCTGCAGTTTGGTCACATGGGAAAATTTGGAGAATAATTCTGAGAGCTATTTATTTATCATAAAGATTATAGGGGTTCTGTGTCATTTTGGCAGGCATTGTTTGCCTTCTGCTTACTCAGCTAAGTTGAATCATATTGATAATGTAACTGTGTGACAATTCAGCCATATGCTGAGGTTTCTACTACCTTAAAAGTATTTCTCTACATGAACATCTTGAATTTTTCTGAAACTGTGCCTTAATTTCCACTATGTAGTTGTGTGGTTCATCAGATTTTGTGATTCCACTGAGGTGAGGCCATTTCAGAGAGTGTGCTATGTAAGGCCTAACTCTGAACAGCCAAGACTATGAGTGGTCTTTTTTTTGTTGTTGTTCTAATGTTTCTTTATTTATTTTGATAGAGGGAGAGGGTATGCACATGCTTGGGGGGGACGGGCAGAGGGAGAGGGAGAGAGAGAATCCCAAGCAGGCTCCATGCCATGAGCACAGAGCCTGATGTTGGGCTTGATCTCCCGAAACATGAGATCATGACCTGAGCTGAAATCAAGAGCAGGACACTTAACCAACTGAGCCACCCAGGCACCCCTATGAGTGGTCTTCTAAGGTGTGTTCACCAGGATGCTCTCTCTGGTAACATTGAGCAGACTTGTTAAATGGAAGTGTCTGATGATCAACATTTAGGATTTAAAATATCTGCATTGTCTTAGTTGAGGACTTCTTTATGATAGACATTTTACATTAGGACTAGTTTGTTTCTTAAAGCCATTTTATGTCAGTTTATAGGAAGATTGGTTTTTCCATTTCCTATACATGAAGGAACTTGTCTAGTAAATCTTAAGAGCAGATTGGATCTTTCAGAATCAGTTAAAAAGAAGGACTTAAAAATATTCAGCCTTGATTCTTCCAGCATTATTAAAAGGCTCATTCCTTTTCGGAAACAGCTGAAATTTTGGCTTTCTATGCAAATCATCCCTCTTCTTAGAATATAAATACAATGGGGGCACCTGGGTGGCTTAGTCGGTTAAGCGTCTGACTTTCACTTAGGTCATGATCTCGCGGTTCGTGGGTTCGAGCCCCGCGTCGGGCTCTGTGCTGACTGCCAGCTCAGAGCCTGGAGCCTGTTTCAGTCTGTGACTCCCTCTCTCTCTGACCCTCCCCTGCTCACGCTGTCTCTCTCTTTCTCTCTCCTAGAAATAAATAAAACATTAAAAAAAATTAAAAAAATATAAATACAATGATAATGTCCGAATATTTTGAAAATTAATGTTTAAATATCATTCCAGATATTTCCTTTTATTTCACATCATCAGATAGTTAATCTAGCCTTTTAATTAACCTATTAGTAAATCAATAAAGTTGTTAGAACTTTAGTTGTTGAAAGAACTAATTCACTGCATTTAATAATCTGAAACCTTGATTAGGCACCATCAGCTTAGTTTACTGTACTTGTAGAAAGTGAAGTTATATGATTCTAGGTTTTAGAGGGATTCCTTAGGTTTAGTTCTGGAAAAGAGGTGGTTAACCTTTGAAGAGGGACTCAAAAGTTGTCAAATGAAAATTTCTTAGTTGCTATACTAGCAGTTTCCAAGTGTTAAATCGAAGAATACATTTTCCCACTTCCCCAGAAACAGTATTATAATTGGTAGGTAGCTGGGATAGCACCTCTGCAATCCCCTTCCCTAACCCCACTGACCCCTGCAAGTGGGAATGGAGGACATGGTAACAAAAGCACACCAATGCTCACGACAAGGGTCAGGAGCCTTGGAGTTTACTCTTAGCTCTGTCATTTTGTGCAAGTCACTTGACTCCTCAGGCTCAGATTACATTGGTAAAATGAATGGATTGGGCAAGATCATTTCCAAGGTTCCTTTAAGCTCTGCTGTCACGTAATTGGGATTTTTCTGATCCCTGGGTCAGAGTCTGGGCAGGAATTTGGATAGCATAATAGTGTAGGTGGTCAGGCACTTCATAGTTAACCACATTTCCATAGTTGCATGACTTAGTCACCAGGTCAAATTGAGTAACCAGAAGTGGTTATGCACTCTCACAAAAATTTTTGGTATTCTTTATAGGAAATAATTTTCAGTTTTATAATAGAGGTCATTGAAAAACTCTTTTATTTCATAGGACTTGTGCCCTTTTGATATCATGCTGTCATTCTTTGAGTGCTTCATTACTTTCTGATGCAAAAAGAGGTTCCAGATTATTTTGTAATTTCTCTTTCCCATCCATGGAGTCAGCCAATCTCAAGTCCTGGTTCCTTTGAGGGGGAATGAACCAGGTGTGCTCTTACAAAATGGGGTACCATTGCTTCTCCCTCTTTTGGAGGAGAAACTAGGGAGTATGGTTTTTTTTATTTTTGAAGTTAGATAGTACCTCTAATTCCAGTTTACCACCACAGGGCTCTTCCTCTCTTTCCCACATGTTGGGATTATATGCTCCTTCTCCCTCAGCAATATCACTGTATTTATTTGCTTAGTGAAACACATACAAAATAGTTTAAAAATTTTTAACCAACTTTACTACCAACAACAAACCTACTACATAAAATTCTATGTTTCTTTGCAATTCTCTTTACCTTAAGAATCTATCATACTAAAGATGTACATCCATGTACTGTCAAAGAGGTTTCTCTGTTATAGTTGTCTTAACACTGTATTTTCCCTTCCTTCCTTCCTTCCCTTTCCCTTATTTCTATGGAGTAGACACTCTAAATGTTTATTGAGAGGTGGTCTGTGCCTTTCTTTGAGCTGCTCCTCTTCACAGTACTCGTAGGTTAAGTTAATCACCTTTTCTGTAGGAGTCAAGGATAATCTACCAAAAGCACTAGTGTTCTGAGCAGCATATACACGTAAATAAAAATGTATAATGGATATAAAATTTTATAATCTAAAGTTTCATGTAACAATATGTAAATACATAAATATATAAATGTTATGTATTTTTCAAACCATAGTATATAAAACCTTTATATATTAAACCTGTTTGATCTGTATGTTCATGTGATCTTTATTTATTGCTCATAAATCGTTTAAAATTTTTTTTAATGTTCATTTATTTTTGAGAGAGAGAGAGAGACAGAGTGTGAGCAGGGGAGGGGCAAAGAGAGAGGGAGACACAGAATCTGAAGCAGGGCTCCAGGCTCTGAGCTCGCAGCACAGAGCCTGATGCAGGGCTCAAGCCCACAGACTGTGAGATCATGACCTGAACTGAAGGCAGACATTGAACTGACTGAGCTACCCAGGTGCCCCATTGTAAATCATTTTTAATTCACAGAACCTGTGGTCACTTGTTTTCTGGTCTCAATTTCAGCCAATATTTCACATTAGGATCATTAGGTCATCAGAAATTGTGGGTTTCAGTTTTTTCATTTTAAGAGTCAAGAGGCACATAAAAAACATTATTTTTGTTTTGTTGTGTATGTGTGATATCATAAACTCTAAGGTACATAAATTCTCAATAAGGATTAAAGAGAAAACACAGACTGATGGAACAACCACTGTGGGTTAGGCCTAGGTGTGGGGGTCATAGCCTGGAGAGAGGAAGCAGTTAGTAGCAAGGCCAATGTTATTGGAGGAAAGGAGGTAGAGTTTAATGTATGTTTGAACTGAGGACAATGAAATTTAAGATGTGTGGACTGGGGAAATTACATTTTTAGTACCCAATATAAATGTGTAACCTGTTCTTTTTGCTAAAACTACTTAATAAATGATCTTTAAAATAGGTGTTTTTTTTTATTGAAAAAGTATGTTTTGTTCATCCAAGTTGAGAGAAATATATAATTATACATGTTCCTTAGTGTTATGTCTCAGTGATGAAGAGAAAATATTAATGTTGCCACAGCCAAATATTGTTCAATTCTAGTTATTCTTTAGGTGATCCTCTAATGGAAAAATTACTAAGTTAATTATGTGGTTTTGTCTAATCATGAATCAAAGAGAAACAACCATCATGTATTAAAAAAATATTAGTTTAAAACATTTAATCTTTCATTGAAATGATCACTGTACCTTTAAACTGGAATATATGTTTGAAGAGAAGCCCAAGAGTCTTTAAAGATTTTTTTGAAGGCACTTTAGGGTATTTTAAAAGGTACCTTTTAAATGCCTTTAAAGTATTTTAAGATATTTTTTAAAGAAATTAAGATTTTGATAAAACTTTTTATTTTACTTTTATTAGCTTGTACATATGCATATTAAATATGTGTGTGTGTTTTAGATCTTATTACAATTGAGAATATTCTTCCCATCTTTCTATTTATTATTTTGTTATGGTCTATTTAAACAAATCCCTAAGCAAGACTTTCTAGAATATTTGGTCATTCTAGCACCTTTTATTTGCATAGCTGTTCATAGATATAATGAAGCCATGCCAGAGTAGTAACTCAGATATTTTTATCAGTATGAAAAAGCTAAAATCCTTTGAAAGTAACTTTTTGTATTTTTATTACAGGTAAATTGGGATATGCACATTGTACAGAAACAGAGGTAAGAGAAATGCTCAAAAATTTATTAGTAAAGCAGCTTTGCAGTTCTTTTGAATAACTTAAGTATTGAACTATCATGGATTTTTGGCCTTCCGACAGGATGTGTTGAGAGCAGGTATAGATCTTCTACATTTAAGAAGAGTAGAATGTGGAGAAAAATCAGTTATATTCCCCATTTACATATTTTATAAAGATTTTATTTTTAAGTAACCTCCAAACTCAATGTGAGGCCCAAACTCACAACCCTGAGATCAAGAGTTGCATGCTCCACTGACTGAGCCAGCCAGGCGCCCCTCTTGCCCAAATTTTTAAAATTCTAGGGTATGTTAAAAAGATTAGCTTAATCATGGTTTTAAAAATTTCCCATGTTATTATTTGTGAAATTGAGATAACCAAGATTCAGAGCCCTTAATAACAAATAGTTTAAATCATTTTTCTCCATAATCCAGTCTAAATGTGTCAGTCATTTAAATGTGTTGGACTCCTCTGGACCTGTCTTAGTGTAGGGGCAAAAATAACAAGGGCTTGGAAACAGTATTCTAGTAAGATTAATAATGAATTAAATGGGGGCACCTGGGTGGCTCAGTTGGTTGGGCCTCTGTCTTTGGCTCAGGTCATGATCTCACGGTTCATGGGTTTGAGCCCCATGTCTGGCTCTGTGCTGAGAGCTAGCTCAGAGCCTGGAGCCTGTCTTCAGATTCTGTGTCTCCCTCTCTCTCCCTGACCCTCCCTCCCCTGCTCACGCTCTCTGTGTGTGTCTCTCTCGCTTTCAGAAATAAATAAAAACATTAAAAAAATGAATTAAATGCTTTGTTATTTGTTTAGTCAGGTTTAGCATTTTTTAGTTAAAAATTCTGACTGAATTTTAAGGGATTTCCATGTGATTCCCTATGTTCCTTGCAGGAATTTCAAAGGTAACACTGAAATATAAGGGTAGCATACAGGAAGTATGTATGTGTGGTATGCTTTTTTTTTAAAAATTTTTAAATGTTTTTTTATTTATTTCTGAGAGAGAGAGAGAGAGAGACAGCGTGAGCAGGGGAGGGTCAGAGAGAGAGGGAGATACAGAATCTGAAACAGGCTCCAGCTTCTGAGCTAGTTGTGAGCACAGAGCCCGACATAGGGCTCTAACCCATGAATCGTGAGATCATGACCTGAGACGAAGTTTGACGCTTAACCGACTGAGCCACCCAGGCGCCCCTGTGTGGTATTCTTTTTAGGAGCTGTCGTATCATCTTTACATTAGGAATCTTGGGTCTTTGTTAATGGCAATGACCTTAATAAAGGATTTAAAAAGTTATTTTTTCTAATTTGATAATATGTCTATGTGTTGTTGTAGGTGTTAGTAAGTTTCAACTGTTATTTTAAGTAAAATGCAACCTTTCTAAGGGATTAATAGTATTGTATAATAAAGAAGCAAAAATAATTTTTTCTTCTTTGCATTCAGAAGGTTTTTTTTAAAAAATATTTATTTTGAGAGAGAGAGTGTGAACAGAGGAGGGGCAGAGAAAAAGGGAGAGAGAGAATCTGAAGCAGGCTCTGGATTGTGAGCACGGAGCCCAATTCAGGGCTCAAACTCAGCCAACTGTGAGATCATGACCTGAGCTTAAATCAATTCAGATTCTTAAATGATTGGGCCACCCAGATACTCCTATGGTTTATTTTTATGTCTTCAGCTTTGGGAGTAGAGATAATTTTTTTCCAGATCAGCTCAAAAAAAAGGCAAGAACTTAATTAAAAAAAATGTTTTTATAGTGTGTGGATTTTTGAGTAATATAAAGGAGTGGGACTTGATTTGAGTCAGAAGATACAATTACTCTTTGTCGTTTCTGGTGTATGTCTTTCTAGCTATGTAATTTTGAGCAGTAATTTTTTTCTCCTAGAATTTTGGCTTATATCTATAAATGTTAATCATAATTGTATTAACCTCATGGGTTGTGAAACTTTAAAGAGTGAATATATTTGAAAATGTTATACAAACCCTGAAGACACTATTATATATACCAAGACGTCAAAGTCTCATTATTCTGTCTTATTATGTTGTACTGCCATAAAATCTGCATGGTTGTAGCATTTTGTTTAGTACTCATTTAGTATAAGAACGTCACTCATCTTATCTCCATTGTCTCCTAATTAGTAGCACTTATTCTTTGACCTATACTTTGGGTAACCAAAAGCATTGGAATCTAAACAGAACTCTCATTCAGGATTTTTAATAATCATTTAAAGAGGGAAAAATCCCAAGAAAATAAGAAGTTCAATCTGATTAACTTAGTTTACAAAATAGGCAAAATAGCGGTAACAGTGGTTGCTTCCTCTGGTGAAGAGACTGGCATTGTGGGTGGTGATTTATCTATATTGTTCGAGTTTTTTTCAAAATAAGAATGTCTTAATGTATTACTTTATTAAAATAATAAAGCGAAGGGGCAGTAGAGGCAATGGGAATCAGTTGAAGAAGTTTGGTGGCTTGAGAGAAAGTGGGTACAGCTTAATTAAGTAGGAAGCTTTGTTTTTTAGGGAAGATGGTACTTCTGGGAGGTGGAGAGTGGCGGTGGGAAGGAAGCAGGAGGGAACAGGCTGGAGTCCAAGTTAGAGAGTGGATATATGCTGTAATTAGATGTAGGCCTGCCTCTGGCTTGACTAGAGTGGTGGTTCACCAGGTGTGGTGGGAGGGCTCGGAGGTGGAGGGGGTGACAGCCTTTCAGGGTCCAGCTATTTTTGAAGCAATATTAAGACATTACCTGCCCTTTTATTTACTTTGATTCTCTTGAGGGCACAGTGGTGTTTTCCTTGGCCACCTGTGACTGTCATACCAGACCTTAGAAGCAGAGGCAAGATCTAGCCGGCTTTTATTAAGCATGACCCTCAATAGATTTACAAAAAATGTAAAACAGTATCACCCTTCTCATTATCTTTTTTGAAAATAGAGTTTTTCCCCCATAAAAATGTTACTTATATTAACATGTTTAATATTTTTAAGTGATTTAAGTGATTAAAAATTTCTCTGTTTTAATTTCTGATACAGGAGATAGATTGGTAGATTATGGCTCACATACACAAAACCTCCTTGGGCTCCTCAGTAATTTTTAGAGTGTAAAAGGGTCACTCTGGGGTGTGGTTAGAGTGGGTATTTTTTCCCGAGAAACAGAATTGAAGCCTGAGAGCAATAAAACTACAGTCCTGAGGAAGACCATGGGAATTTGAGAGAATCCTTGATGATAAGGATTTAAGCCAATCTTTTCTGTCAGTGAGATGACAGGGTCATTTCTGAGAGAGAGGTTTTCTTGGGTCAGAATGATGATTGCTCTTTTGCCCTTACACTGTTCTTCTGTTGAGAGAGGAGATGCTCATCAAGCTCTGGCATTAAGTGCAGACCAAGGTAAGAGCTGCTAACAAGTTGTGGGCGAGTGGAACTGTGAAGGGCCCTGGATAAGGTGGAGTAGCACGTGATGGCTCCACATTGCAGTTTGGGTTCACACCCCAGGAGCCTGTATGTTGGGTGTTTGTGCTTGGGCCCAGCTCCGGCTCCACCCTTCCCCTTCACTTCTCGGCCTCAAGATTCCTCATCTCAAAGATGGGTTGTTTTGAATACAGAGAGTTTAGCATAAAGCTCAGCTTCATGAATATAGCTTGGGGGGTGTATAGTTTCTTGGGACAGAGAAAGTCATCTTCCTAAGCAAGGCTCATGGACTACTAGGGCCCTCAGCGTGACTACTTAGGGAAAGCAGAATCCCTTTACGTCATCAGGACGTATAACTTGAAGTGTTCAATTGTGTATTTTAATAGTTTTTGTAACACATAGAAATCATATTATGAATTGTTTTCTAATTTTACTTGTAATTCTTTTTAATACTTTTCTTGTATTCAGAAAAACCAAACAAAATTATGAGTTAGAAAAAGCAAGGAGCCATGCGTAGGTATTCAGTTAACTTTTATGTGATCTTGTATCTTAATATAACTTAATGTTTCTAAAAGATCAAGTATTGTACCTTATTTCTGTTTAGAAAATTTCTTTCTTAATTTAATTTAATTTAATTTTAACACTTGGATAGTACTTTTTATTCCAAATTCAAATTACAATGCACTTCTACCCCAAAGATAGTCTCAAATTTTCAGGAAAACGATCAGATTCATTTATGCTGTCTCTTGCCCCATTTTAGCTGATAAAAATGTTCTGGGTTACTAAATTGGTCTAAAGTTGCCCATGTCATTTTGTTTTTTTGGTTTTTTTTTAAATTTTTTTTATTTTTATTTATTTATTTATTTACAAATAGTTTATTGTCAAGTTGGTTTCCATATAACACCCAGTGCTTATCCCCACAAGTGCCCTCCTTCATGCCCATTTCCCCCCTTCTCCCCCACACCCATCAGTCCTGTTTGTTGTCATCATTCAAGAGTCTCTCATGGTTTGCCTCTCACGAATGGATCCAGAAAATTTCTTTAGTGTACTTGATTATACTAGTATTTTCAAGCATTTGAACTTATTAAGGGAAATCTTTCATATAGTTTTATTATTTTTTTAATGTTTTATTGATTTTTGAGAGAGTGTGCACGAGTAGGGGAGGGGACAGATTTTCCTAAATCTATTTTCCATTTTTTGAAGGTACAGTTTGCATACAGTAAAATTTACCCTTTTCAGTTACAGTTTTCTGAGTTTTGAGAAACATTAAGTTGTGCTAATCATCTCCATAATCAAGTTCTGTCTTTCCCCAAACTCTTCCAGTGCCCCTTGGTGGTCACTCCCTCACCTCCCCGACTCCGGCCTCTGTCAACCACTGATCTGTATTTTGTCCTTTCATTTTGAGAAGGGCATATAATTTCAAGAGTACATTACCCTTGCTTCTTAGTCTAGCACTTCTCTAGAAGTGCTCACAGCTCAGCCTGATCATTTATAAACTGTTCCTGTGGGTACTTGCCCATCCAAGAGGCACTTATGTTCCACAGTTTGGGTAGTGGAACCCATTTTACAAGTTTTTCTTACTGCCATTATTTAAATAATTT